GCGTGTCTTAGGGTTAGGCGATTAAAGAATGCCCGGGATTGATTAGTATTGGTTGGTATTTTGACCCATAGAAATCTTGAGTTCTTTTATATTAAGAGCATGTCTTATGTTTAAACGAAAAAAAAAAGAATGCCCTGGATTGAATAGTACAGTTTGGTCTTTTTATTCATAGGAATCTTGAGTAGTTTGAAGAAATATTGCCATTTAAATATATTCATTTAAAAGAAGGAGAAAAAAGAGTTCATTGTGATGGTCGAAGTACTAGTAGGCATAGTGACATACATTCATAGGTGCGGTTACTTCATACCAAGGTCTAATGATTCTTTAGACGATTAAAGAATGCCAAGGTCTAATGATTCTTTAGACGATTAAAGAATGCCCGGGATGGAATAGGATAGTTTAGTCTAAGATGTTTAGGTTTAATGAAGTGCACGCATGCATTGACATTCATTTATAGAATTGGTTACTCCATACTAGATGTTTTAATGATTGTATTGGTTTCTTCATATAGAGAAAAAGGAAAGAGTTCATTGTGCTGGTCAAACACATAGATGCTCATTGATATTCATTTACAGAAGTGGTTACTGCATACAAAGATGTTTAGGTTTAATGAAGCGCATGCATGTAGCCGGTATTGGAATGATTGTATAAAGAAGGTATTAGAAAGGATAGAAGCTGGGGGGGGGGGGGTGAGGCGGTGGTTGTGAGCGGAGGAGAAATAGGTGCAACTTTATTTGTAGACATGTCTTTTCTACATAGGTTTTATTGTGTGTGTTATATGTTATGTAAATGTTTAATGTATTCTTCTTCTTTTTTCAATGGGGACAGTTTGTGGCAGCCTCTGATCTGGTTAGTTTTATATGGCTTGAATGTGGGCAACAACCTTTCCATCTCTCATCCACCTATATTATATACTCAACACGCACATGATGAGTAACACTAACATTTCCGTCTTCAATTTGATATCCTTAAATGTAAAAGGTATTCGGGAGAAAAATAAAAGAAGAAGCATTTTCAAATGGTGCAAAGAAAAAGGTGGGAATATTATTTTTTTACAGGAAACCTTTAGCACACAAGATATAGTTAATACTTGGAATTCGATGTGGGAAGGCGAATGTATATACAGCACCGGTACTAATCATGGTAAAGGGGTTATGATACTATTTGATAGTGGAGTAAATATTAAGATACGACACACAGTTATCGATGAAAATGGCAGATACATTTTTGCAGTTGGTTTTCTGCAGAATAAGGAGGTAATATTCGGAAATGTTTACTTCCCTGTTGGGAGCAAAGAGTTGGAACAATTGGAGTTTCTGGGCAAAGTTAGAAATATTTTGGAAAAAGATGAATTCAAAAATAAACCTCTCATTATTGGAGGGGATTTTAATATGGTTAGAGATGTACATTTAGATTACAGTGGACATAATGTTAATAAAAAACAGTCTAAGCTTAGCTATGAATTTGAAAAGTTTTTAATTGACTATAATGCCACAGACATATGGTGTGTCAAAAATAATTTAAAGAAACAATTTACATATCACCAACAGAATCCTAAAATGCATAGTAGATTGGACTACAGGGTTATTTCGGAGAGCATAGAAGATATGGTATTTAGCTGCAAAATATTAACTTCAATTTCACCGGACCACTCAGCAGTAGAACTGATTATTAAACTACATTCTTCTACTAATCCTATAATAAAAGCAGGATATTGGAAATTTAATAACAGTTTATGTAACGATGCAGATTATGTGAAAAGTATGAAAGAAGAAATAACACGGTTGAAACTCAATCTATCCAAAGAGATAATAGATAATAGAATATTATGGGATTATGTTAAAATGGAGATACGAAGTTTTACAAGAAAATACTGTAAGAAAAAAGCCAAAGAAAGAAAGGATAAGATTGTTGGTTTGGAAAAAGAAATTTCAAAGTTAGAGGAAGAATTACAAATACCAGCGAAGGTGAATGACAATTCTTTGATTAACGATTTGGAAAATAAAAGAAGGGAATTGAAATGTCTTTACGGTTATATAAGTGAAGGGGTAAAAATCAGATCTCGAGCCCAATGGTTTGAAAGTGGAGAAAGAGAAACGGCATATTTTAAGCAACTAATAGATTTCAAAGAGAAAAAAAGTGCTATTAAAGAATTACAAGTAGATGGAAATATAACTGATGATGAAAAAGATATCATACAAGAAATTAGAAGATTTTATTCCAAACTGTATGCTAAATCAGAAGAAGGATTATGCGAAAATATTAATTTTTCCCCAAAACCTTACCCAAATTAACAGAAAATCAGAGGAAGCTATGTGAAGGAAAAATTAACCAGGGAGAGTGTATTGAAATCTTAAAAGAAATGCAGTTAAATAAATCCCCAGGAAATGACGGATTAAATGTAGAATTTTATATTACATTCTGGCATGTAGTTGGTGACTTAGTTCTTAAGGCATTTAACGATACCATGAAATTCAAGGAATTGTCGCCTTCTCAAAAACAAGCAATCATAACGCTTATACATAAGGATGGTAAAGACCCCAAATTCATTAGTAATTATAGACCTATCTCCTTACTCAACGTAGACTATTAGATTATTACCAAAATAATTTCTAAAAGAATAAAAAAAGTTTTGAATGAAATTGTGTCGGTCGATCAAGTAGGTTATTTAAAAGATAGAAACATCGGTGATGCAATCAGATTAATCAATGATATGATTTTTCATACTTCTTGTCTGTTTTTGTTTTGTGTTTGTTGTTGTTGGTTTTGTTTTTAACGGGGGTAGGGGATATAACAAACTTTATTCATTCGATATAACTAAGTTGATTGTAGTCTGTACTTTGTTCCTATATGTTATAAATTATAATATGTAATAGGGATACTAGTACTACAGAACAAAATATAGAGGGGGGGGGGGTTATAACAATATTAATTCATTCAATATAATTGAGATTACTGTATTTTGTACTCTGTAATTGGTTTCAATACGTTATATATTACAATTTGTATGAATTAATATTATTTATTGAGTGAATACAATAAAGAATATTACAAAACAAAAAAAATACACATAAAGTACATGCATGCAAAGTACATGCAGTTTACGCGTGCGACAAAATTAACAATAGGGACTTTTAGATTCGCACGAAGACAATAGGTCTATGCTACGCTCGACGTCCTTATTAAGCACTGCCTTGAATGGACGTCACACGTATTAGTCCACGCAAATCTAAAAGTCCCTAATGGAGGTTGTCGCGAGGACCTGAGAAATGGGGGTTTGGACGGTCTTATCTCCGTGTTTTACTTGCACCGTGAACCTGGCTCTCCCGTAAGCACACACACACACACACTCATCAGTCTGCAAGAATCTTCAACCGTGAACGAGGCAGACCCAATTACAGAAGGAGAAGTGTAGGCCTATTACGGATCACCTACCCATATTGCATGCATGAATAAAAAAATAAAAAAAAATTTAAATCTAATTGTATCTAATTTTTTAAAACAATTAAATATCAAATAAGATGTCATCATAAAGTGAAACGTCTTTTTGCATGCAATTTGGGTAGGTCATCCGTTACATTTATTGGCTGAGCTACGGGCCGGGACACAAAGCGTTTTTAATTTGAGCAAGAACCTTATTTCACTTCTTCCTTACAATCTTAGCATTGATGATAATCAAAATTGAGCAATTTTTTAAAACCAATAATTGATTAAATTTTTTAATCAACCACAGGTTAAATTTTAATCAACAGGCTGTTGGTTAAAGTTAAACCAACGATTGTGTGATTCACCTGGTAATCCGTGGTTGATTAAAATTTTAACCAACTTGATTAAAAATTGTAATACTTGTTCTAACAGTGTGTATTTCAACGAGGCCGCAGGTCGAAGTTGAGGTACTGCGGCCTGATGTAATTTCTGACTTTGGAGGTGAATATATTTTATATTGTTAGCAAAAATAACAATATTTGTTGTATAGAATTAAGGCTATTTGCGATACCTGTTCGACAGTCATATAAGTTATAATGCTCACTGGAAAATGTGTCCGTTCAAGAAAATTGCAATTATTTGACAAAGTTCTCCTGCTAGCTCCAAACGTTCGAACTCAAATGTATGTCTCTCGTGCATTCAAAGGAGATTCCCACCTCTTGAAATTGTCAACATTACCTCTTTTACCCATTTTATATATTCCTATTTAACGACCTAAAAATGTTCGTTTTTATAAGACGTACTTAATGCAAAATATAAATTCACTCAAATATTGTAGCGTACGATTAGGTTCCTCCTTGCTTACTCGGACACTATTTCCCGCTTAGTTATATGTGTAGTGACTTGACCTTGGAGAACTTTGCATTTGTAAATATTATTGTCTTGTCTTTATTGTGTGGCTTGAAGTCTAGCCTTTTATTCCATTGTCACTCATTTCTTTAGTGACACCTGTTGCATTACTAGAGTGCCACAAATACTTACTCTGGCAAGCACATTCCATACCCTATGGGTTGGGATGTGCAACCACCTAATGTACTGGTATAGCTTATACTGTACAGGGACATTACACTTGCTTGCTTTATTTGCCACACCTATTTTCATCACTTCTCCTGAGCTGTTCATATAGAGCACACCTATTCTAGAGAGTCGATCGATCAACAGCAAAGCTAATTCAGCTTCATCTTAATTCTTGTCCTATTTCTTCTCTCGTTTCTCTACTCGGTTCTGAGGCCTTATTACTTTATAGAGATTATAAGTTTCTTCTTCTTTACTTAATTCGCGAAGAAGCGTCATTACTTTGTACATGGTCTTACATATTCTTTCTACGGGTGCTGTGCAATATTTGAACTACTACTTGTGATATAATATATGTTCCAAGTATCTGTACTCAACAGGTGTTTCTACGAGACAAGGTAGGAAAGAAATCTATTTCTATTTCTTTTATTTAGGTGATTAAATTCCCTAAATATGTATTCAATTAGTCTGGATCCTATATTATTGAGTTGTATACTTACATCTCGATGCATCTTGACCTCGCTAACTCTCGCTTCCTCTTTAGTTTGAAATATTACAAATAAAAAGTGTGATCCAAAAACGTCATCTTTACAATAATGTTATTGCCAATGATGAGATCATATACCACTCTGCTAGAGTCACAATGTCGACTCATATGATATTATTTCCTTATATAGCTGTTCCTCCGTTTATCCCGTCAGGTATTCAGGTGGAATGTCGACTGAATGGAGGCTTTTGCCACTGGTGGACAATGCTCTCGAGCAGGAGACAAATGTAAACCATGGACAAAGAATGTACTCATGTGTGAATCTCTTTCAGTTGTTACGTAATGTAACGAATAGAACGAGGGTTGGGTGATAGTTGTTACTGACTACGAAGGGGTTGCTCCATCTGTAATGGCACCTTCAACTCTCCGTAGTCATTACAGGTAGAGATCCACCCATAGTGTCATGAAACTGGGATAGAGGACTTGCTCTACAAGTCCTAGCCGGAACACCATCTAAAAATTAACGTTACCAGGCTATTAATAGTCTACGGAATAATACCAAATTATTCATCAACTACTTAATATCTTTTAACGAGACTATAATCATTATCAGGCAATACAATAAAATACATTACAGAAAAGGCTTCTATCATAATGATTTACATTGCATTACAAATATCCTTTCAACATTTGAAAGAGCCTGAATTACTGAGTGCAAATCCTGCGAACATGTACTTTTATTTATTATTCAGAAATGAACAAAATAATGTATAAAGAGTTACATTATTACTTTAGAGAAATGATTTGCAGTCTTCATTATTAATCCCGAATTCAAAGGTTCACTTGTGACCTTGACTGTCTCAATGACAAATGAACACGCCCAATGTATCATAATAAAAATGAATACAAATATGGATTAAACTTGGATTAAACTTATAGTTTGACTGGTTGACTGAAATGCAGAAAATCGGGGCAGGCCTCAATGTCGGTTCTGGTGATCTTGACTCTCTATGGAACTTATACTTGCAGCGCAAAATGCCATGTTTTTGAGCTATGAAACAACTTTTATTCACCTCCAACCCATAGGTCCTCCCTGTATGACTTGTGTGCAGATAGTGACACTACACTGCAAGGTAAGGCAACCCACCCACTATATATAGCTATGCATCACCTGTTGGAGCTACGTAGAGTGCAGTGGAGCCTAACTACCAAATGCATTCAACCCAATTCTTTAATCTACATAACAATAAGCGGGTTGTATTGAGGGGAAAGGTTGAATCCTAACACACTTCTTCCGGTGCCAGGTAAAAATGTCAGAGGAAAAAATGTCAGAGGAAAAAATGTCAGAGGAAAAAATGTCAGAGGTAAAAATGTCAGAGGTAAAAATGTCAGAGGTAAAAATGTCAGAGGTAAAAATGTCAGAGGTAAAAATGTCAGAGGTAAAAATGTCAGAGGAAAAAATGTCAGAGGTAAAAATGTCAGAGGAAAAAATGTCAGAGGAAAAAATGTCAGAGGTAAAAATGTCAGAGGTAAAAATGTCAGAGGTAAAAATGTCAGAGGAAAAAATGTCAGAGGTAAAAATGTCAGAGGTACAAGCAAAACAAATGAGTGCCGTCATAATATCTCAGCACTTTATCACTCAGAATGTCAAGACGTACAGCTACTGCATGGGCTAGTCTATTATATTCCTTTCTAAATGGATGTGTTGTATATCGTACATGTCCTGAAGATAATATAATGTGGAAAATAGATTTTGAATTTTTTTTTGGGGGGGGAAGCAATCAGAGAAGGTTAATCATCTAGCATAAACATGTAAGTATTGGTGTGTAGTGCAAGGTTTTGGAGTCATCAAAATGATAAAAAATTTGGCCCAGTCTTGGTAAAGTAACAAGCACTGTAAACAGAAAGATATTGATATGGGACTACACAAACATATGGCATACAAATCGGGCAGGCATACAAAGATGTTACTTGTTATATCTGGGATATGAAGTCATTTGAAATAGATTTTCAGGGAATAACTTTTTTCTTTGATGTTCTATTACACTTGCATTGAACGCTCACAAATAATTTTTTTTTTACCTTTCCCCAGAACTCAACCTTCTCTTTAATTGATGTAACATGGGCGGCTTTCTGCTTTGTATCGGAGTAACAAAGCTGCTTATTGATTTTCTCCCAGACTATTTTATACCGCAATAGTAATCGACAATATTTTATTGCAACGCGCGCACTTCGGGAATGTGATGGTGCGGTTAGCATTGATAACATGGCTTTCTGCTTGTTTCAGAGTATCAAAATACCAAGCCCTCAAGAAAGTGGAATTGTCGGAAATATGCATTTATTGGAAATTACATATAATAGTAGACATTGCCACGCAGTTAAAATGTCCAACAATCTTCAAATACGAAGGAGAAGTAGGAGGGGGAAGGTTCATAGATATCTGATCCTATTTTGGGGGCTGTACTGACTTTTCTTTTTATTTAATGATTACACCATGGAGCGACAACTCAGCCTATAAAACATGGCCAAACTTCTCGATTTTAGAAATCTTTTTCCCCAGAAGTTTGCTCAGTGTACCAGTACCATTTGCTTATACAAAAACATAATATACTGGTATATAAATATTGAATAAGGCAGACTAATGGGACGTGGATGGTGTACTCCGAGTTTCAAGCCTTGCAAGCGGTCATCAGACAACTGATAGCATTCTTCAAAGTACATGATTCCTCTACAACCAGGGCTCAAATTAATTTTTTGGGGCTCAAATTAATTTTTTGTCCACGGGGGCTCTTCCCCCCCAAAAAGAGCCCCCGTGAGCCTTCTCACGGGGGCTCTTTTAGTACTGACGGGGGCTCTCTGTTATACAAATATCCATTGAATTGGTACCTATGATACTCCTCAATTATTTGCTATTTCATCATTATCATTTCAATCAGCATTTTCCCTCTTACAAATTTACAAGCTACATAGCTGTTACTGGCCTGTGTATATAATATATACGCATACAACACTGATCTTTATGATGTCTTTAACGTGACATATCTTCTTCTCCCCTTGCAAACGAGAAAGAAAACAAGGTCATTAAAAGGGATTAAGCGACAAATAATGATTGTGATTCAAATTGATGCGAATATTTGGTTGAATAAGCACTGCTATTCACCCGAATCTTCTTTGTAAAAACAACTTTTACAATTCTCAGCCATGCTTACTGAGTTGAGACGTTCCATTCAATGTAAAATACTCATTACAGAATACACTTCTCCTAATCTGAAAGTGATCTTACAACACAGTGGCAGATTTGCATGGCTGAGATTTGTAAAAGTCGTTTTTACAAAGAAGATTCTGGTGAAAAGCATTGCTTATTCAAAAAAAATCCTTGCATCAATTTGAATCACAATGATTATTTGTCGCATGATCCTTTTATTAAATAACCTTGTTTTCTTTTTTTTTAATGATTACACCATGGAGCGACAACTCAGCCTATAAAACATGGCCAAACTTATCGATTTTAGAAATCTTTTTCCCTAGAAGTTTGCTTAGTGTACCAGTACCATTTGCTTATACAAAAACATAATATACCGGTATATAAATATTTAATAAGGCAGACTAATGGGACATGGATGGTGTACTCCGAGTTTCACGCCTTGCAAGCGGTCATCAGACAACTGATAGCATTCTTCAAAGTACATGATTCCTCTACAAGTTACAACCTTGGTATACGCTCAAAATAAGACTTAACTAATACAATACAATAAGACAGCGGTGAAATAACGACTGCAGAATATCCCTCGCTGTTCTTTTTCGATAAGCCTGATATATAGCCCGGGTGTAAACATAACAATCTTGTCACATGCTTTTGTTTTTATTTTAAACTCTGACATTTTTACCTCTGACATTTTTTCCTCTGACATTTTTACCTCTGACATTTTAAACTCTGACATTTTTACCTCTGACATTTTTACCTCTGACATTTTTTCCTCTGACATTTTTACCTCTGACATTTTTACCTCTGACATTTTACCTCTGACATTTTTACCTCTGACATTTTTACCTCTGACATTTTTACCTCTGACATTTTTTCCTCTGACATTTTTACCTCTGACATTTTTACCTCTGACATTTTACCTCTGACATTTTTACCTCTGACATTTTTTCCTCTGACATTTTTACCTCTGACATTTTTTCCTCTGACATTTTTACCTCTGACATTTTAAACTCTGACATTTTTTACCTCTGACATTTTTACCTCTGACATTTTTACCTCTGACATTTTTTCCTCTGACATTTTTTCCTCTGACATTTTTACCTCTGACATTTTTACCTCTGACATTTTTACCTCTGACATTTTTACCTCTGACATTTTTACCTCTGACATTTTTTCCACTGACATTTTTACACCGAGCCCTTCTTCCAGGAAAAGTACAGTCCACTGTCTGGTGTTGACAATGATAATGACAATGATTTTTTTTAAATTTCTTTAACGACCCCTTCTGGGGCATGGAAGATATACAATTGAATAGTACATATATAATGTTCAACAATGATATTCATCTAGAATTTTTTTTTTTAAACACACACAGAAAATCTTTAAAAACAAGAAAATCTTTGGCAGCGAACAACAAACAAATGAAGGCAAGCTTAAGGATATAGGTCTACTTTAAAAAAAAAATACACGATACCCTACATCTCAACTGGCAGTACTAACACTACTATATACATGCATGTACACTATGCTACTAAAAACGGCAACAACCAATTAAACAACAACTCTAAGATACTAAAAAGGACAAAACAAATTATCCAAATTTATACATAATGATCTTACAAAATTTGGAAAGGTTCTTTAACTGCTTAACAGAATTTGCATTGAATAACTGATGAAATTTGATAACGTTAGGTCTACTGTAATACTATTTCTTGACATACTGCTTACGAAAGTCATTGAAAGCCGGCACACCAAAACATAATGAAATTCATCACCCTGCACCTTAATATTACATAGGGAACATAACTCGAGAGGTTGATCAGATAAATAACGACATTTGGTAACTGGCAGCTTATTATTACCACGACGAAACTTACAAAGAGGTATCCTATCACATACGTCCAATTTCAACCAATAGCTCTCCAAACCACCTTTCTGTTTAAAAAGCCTATAATTTAAGCATAAACGATTTCTATAAACTTCATTATTCCAATTTTGCAAATCAATATCGTTTAA